GCAAGACGTGGTTCACACCGCTGACTTGTCTTGTGCTTATTACAGCCACTTTCCCAACACAACTTACACCCACACACTACTTTTCTCCTCCTCACCTGGATGAGTGCACAGGCCTTGTGTTTTTGGAGCTGCTGCGCCTGTCTGCACACGTGCTGCCTCCCGAGTAGTCAAACTGCCTTAACGCCTTGCAACTAAATACCCAGTTGCAAATTTGAGACCCTTTTGCGTCCGTTTCTGCCAGGTACTGGGATGTGCCCAGTGGCCACCTGTGCTGGTAACGCTTGGTGGTTTTTGGAAAGCAACCTCAGCAGCCGAGTCACCGGGCTTTCCCACCTCCACCAGCAGCAGCTGCGGGCACGGCCAGCTCTGCGCAGGTAGGATCTGCTCTGTCCTGCACTCATCTGAGCCCGCTTCCAAAATCTCACCAGCACTGCGCGAATTGCTGGAAGGCCTCTTTGCTGGAAGGCCTCTTTGCTGGAAGGCCTCTTTGCTGGCTACAGCCCCTTGGCTCTCCTCCAGAAACAGAAAAAGCTCTAATCATCTTCCTAATAGTCTGGCACCATCAGAGTGTTATTGCTGATTCTGCATGAGGAGTTTTGCCCGTGGTGGATATTCCCGCTTTAAGCACTCTCATTAAGAAGCCAGGAGTCTGTGCAAGATCCTCACACACAGCCCCAGAGCCCACGTCTAACACCAGCCTCAGGACGGGCACGGCTGGCCAGCAACAAGTCATGGGAACAGCTAGCGCTCGCTATATATTCAGTCCTTGACTTACTCATCTCAGCCACAGATGGGTCTTGAATAAAAAAGAAATACGAAAAATGAGGTGAGAACAGGGAGGTATATAACTATTGAAACTGGGAAGGAAATGGAAAGCACAGATCAGAAGAGCAAAGCGAATGCAGCGGGAACAAAGAAGGAGCTGCCCAAAAGAGACCATGTGGGAGTCCTGCAGCAGCATCACAGTAAAAGCTACAAGGAATTCGCAAAGTCTGGAGCAATGAAATAGCTGAGCATGCAGCAGAAGTAGGGAGACAAGAAAGTCCAGCTCCTGCATTTATACTCATGGCCACACGGCAGTTGTGGCTCGGTGCCACCAGGCAAGTAGAGGTCACATCTGTCTCAGAAGAAGGGGTGGCCAGCAGGCAGAATGATTGGGTGAAGGCTAAAGGTGTTACAAAAACCAACAAAACTGAAAGAGCTCCAGAGAAGTCAATGACCAAAACATATATACAAACATAGCAATGACAAAAACATGGGAAACACGAGAGAAAGGAAAGGCAGCAGAAGTAGACACAAAACACTGAGCAAGAGGTGGCCTGAAGCAGTTTATTTAGGTGATGACCAGATGCAGCGTCCTGTTGGCATCTGGAGCTGGACATCTCTCCGCCAGACAGAACCTTCAGGATTTCACGTGGAAACCAGTGGGTAGGGCTCGCAGGTCTGCTCCTGGCGGGCTATCAGACAGGACAGGGGGGTTGGAGAGATGCTGCTGGCCTCCTGAAGCTGGTCAGCATGATGGGCACAGCTCCCCACGGCATCGCAGGATGCAGCTCCGCGCCTTTTATCATCGGAGTCAGATTGTTCCTCTGCGGGGCGCAGGAAAGCTCGGCTCCCCAGCTCCGCAATGAGCCACTTCCTTTTTTTCTTTTTTTAGGATCAGAATTTCTTTTCTCTTCCTCCCCCACCTCAAAAAAGCGGATATTTAATAACTTGGATCAGGAAGAGCTTGCTATCGTGAAGCGATGGGTGGTAGCGGCGCTGCACCTAGTGACATCACGCCATCGGCCTGGCCAAGTCTTCATCCCGTAACGGCTATCCAGTAAAACACAACTAATTATTCTGCCAGATCCTTGACCAGATGACAAATTGATTCACGGCACTAACTAAAAGAAGGGAAGGAGGAGAAATTGCACCATTTCCTATGACTGAAACTACATTAACCCGTTACCCCAAGGAAAACTTTGTCAAAAGTTTTTATTGCGGCGGTTGAGCTATACGCCAGACGGCTGCAGTGCATTGCCAGGAGACCCCGGTGCTGTGCTATGAAAGTTCATACACAGAGCACAGTTTGCATTTGATATCCATCAGCGTTCAGAGGAGGAAGATCTTTTTTCAGAACATCTGCAGAGTATCTCATATGTCAGAGGACCCAAAACTGTTATCAGAAACTGCTAATTAAAACTTAAAAAAAATCAAATACCTGTTTTTCTAAGCTGACCTGAGGATGCTGAAAGCTAAAAGTAACACCAGGGAGACCGCTGGAAATGAAAGCTTTTGCTCAATCTGTCAGTCAACTCACAAGGGGAAACTTCCTGCATACTGCGAGAAGTCTATAATTACATCATCATGGCAAGGGCACATCAGTGTGCTGCTTATTAATCATTTCCAGGAAGAAGACTATCAGAAAGCCATCCTTCTTAGCACCACTGCCCGGCAACGTGGGCTCCCTTGCTCACTGCAGGGTGGGTGCCTCAGATTTCCCTCGCATGAATTTCCTCTTCGAGCAAATTTCAACCCCTGCCAGAAGTCTGCAACACAACTTTTCACATGTTCTTCTGACAAAAGGCTGGTTTCGCACAACACCCTAAGCTGTAACAAAGTCTCACAAAACCATTCTTCTCTGGTAGAAGTGACAGAAGCATCCCACCCAAAACAGTGAGCGCTGCCAGATTTTGCATTTTCCCCTCCACTCCAAAGACATGTGAGATATTGTCTCTCCACCAGACGTAGCCCTGGGGGGAATGCCAAGGTTCAGCTTTGCCCAGGGTGTCCTGCACTTGCTCCTTAAATGAAGTGATCAAGAATCGTTCACCAAACGCGTATGACCAAAGCACCATTCCCTTTCAAAATTTGGACAACTGTAGAATCGTAGGATCATTAAGGTTGGAAAAGACCTCTAAGATCATCAAAAGTCCAACCATCAACCCAACACCACCATGCCTACCAAACCATGTCCCGAAGTGCGATATCCACACGTTTTTTGAACGTCACCAGGGATAGTGACTCCACTACTTCCCTGGGCAGCCTGTTCCAATGCTTAACCACTCTTTCAGTAAAGAAATTTTTCCTCATATCCACTCTAAACCTCCCCTGATGCAACTTGAGGCCATTTCCTCTTGTCCTATCGCTAGTTACTTGGGAGAAGACACCAACGCTCACCTCACTACAACCGCCTTTCGGGTAATGGTAAAAGAGAGAGGGAGAGATGGAGGGGAAGAGGACAGGAGGGTGAGTAAGACTGTCACGTCTATCTGGAACCCTTAAGCTTATATTTGAGAGGCTAGGCCTCCTTTCTCCACTACATGAAGTAAGGCAAGAAGCAAAGCATGCTGGAAAAGAGGAGAAAGAGATATATGCCACGCAGGTAACATCATGGATAGGGTATTATTCTCATGAATCGTGATCCAGAAAAATAATACCCTAAATGGAAGCTAAGAATACTAAATGGATACACACAAGTGGGGTGAAATACAGCAGACTGTTATAACAGCAGAGAGTAAAGTCCACAAGTGAATGTAAGAGCCCTCCCAGCTACCTTTGATTCAATGAGTCCTGTGATCTGCTGCTCCGTTCCTCCAAGGGCTACTGATGCAATGTGCCAGATTCCATGTTTCTTTCCAACTGTTCTGAGTCTCCTGCATCTGATCTCAAAGAAGGGAGCAGAAACAGCTGGAAGAGAGAAACCAGAATGGCATAGTCCAGCAGCAACCCTTGGAAGAACAAACAACGACAGCCTTGTGAGAGGTACTATTGTCCCCCAGCCTGTACGTTTGCATGTGGACACGTATGCACATGTCTTCTAGGAGAAGAAATACACGTCACTAGTGCACCAGCTCTGGCCGGTCACAGAGCACCAGAGGATCTTCTGACTCAGTGCGATCAGTGCGAGCTGAACAGACCGAGAGCTCAACAGCACGGCCGCGATCCACGGTCATGGGTGCCAAACGAGTCACGCGTGCTAAATGCAGTCTAAGTTTGGCACCACACTTCTCCTCCAGTGGCACCTTTACTCCCTGAGCAATTCCACCTACTTTGCAACACATGAGCAGCTTGCAGCCTGCGCAAGGGAAGCCAGTCAAGGTCTACTCTGTTTAGGCTTTAAAGCTCCTGTAGATCTAGCTGCAGGCCAAAGGAGGAGGGCAAAACAGCAGGTGAAAGAGGAGACTGAAGGAATAAACTTCTTCAGAGAGAACTTAGGTATTTGCTGCCAAAGGAGAGGATTAGTAGTGAAAATCAGGAAGTCAATGAAGCAGAGAACAGCAAGAGGCCACTGCAGGTAATAGGGACAGTAGGAGCAAGGCTATTGCTCACCAAGGCACTTGAAGGGGACATAAAAAAAGCTTGTTGCTCTTTCATACGTGCAAAGACCAGAAGGAGGGAGCGAGGAGGTCAGGGAGATGGTGGGCCATGAGACAAAAAAAAGCCTTTGAAAATGAACCATGGAAAAGTGATTAATAAGGGAAGAACTGTCAGGGTTGGTGTTAGGACCTTCTCATTTCCACTAGAAATGAAATAAGACATCACAAGTCACAACCAGATTTCGGGAGGGAAGACCAGGAGCACAGCAAGACCAAGACAGAAAGACGTTATTTAAAGAACAGAAACAGAATTTCAGACAGAGAGGAAGTCAGATTAGGATAGTTAGGAATTACACACAAGAGAAGGCAGAAAACAAATTTAAAGGCTCAAGGGATATTTAAGGTACAACAGCCCAGAGGATCTCTTGCCAGCCTTACAGCAGGGATGCAATGGAAACCATAAGATTCTTCCTGACTGCAACTTCCTCGTAACCGATTCCTAGAGAGCACAGGCACACCACGTCTCTTCAGGACAGGACAGCAGTACCACCACGAGCCTGGTCCTAGCACACACGGTACCATTTCTAGAGGGGTCCCTCAACTCCACATCCCTTCTGCCCCACACAAAGCTACTAATTGCTACCAATTGGTTCTCCTTCATAAGTGCCAAGTCACCAAGCGCAGTAACAAAACGAGTACCTGGAGTATCGCAAGTCTGCCCATCCCCTGAAGAGTTGGTTGGAGGCGTCCGGTGTCGGTAGACTAGATGTGGTTTATTGTGCTCTTCTTCATACTCCTGTTCTTCCAGCGATAGCAGCGGCTCTACAAAATAGTCCCCGTCGTCAGACTTGAATGTGCCTAGCTGAGAGGGACCAGAGAGGAACAGGCGGTCAGCTTCGGGCGATGACAAACCACGGAGCAGGACTACCCCAAAAAAAGCGCAGTTAACGAGGAACACGCGCGAGCGCCTGCTTCTGCAGTGACCCCTGTGAAGGCACGGGCTGGAGCTCCAGCTCCCATCGTACCCATGCTGGGCCGCACCGCTTGCCTGCAGCCATCCCACTGGAATTTACAGAAAGCAAATTACTAATCCATAGGCAGGGGCATGAGAAGGGCACGTCTGCCAGACCCCATCCCCCTGCCAGTGACGTCCACCAAGCCACCCCTGCCCAGGGCGAGATGGTGCTGCAGAGTGCTGGACTCCTCTCATCACGTCGTGCTGGTTTTCACACCACAGCTCTCCCCAAGACAAGCTTCAAACCCACGTGTAAGGACCCAAAGGAGGTGTCTGACCAGTGGAACCGCTGCTTATGAGCAGCCACCGACACTCCTAGCTGCACGTGACTATCAGTTGGGGATTTGGCGGGTAAGTAAGAGATAACCAAGATGCAAAACATCCCGCAGCCATCCTAGACTGGGATCCACGACCAGTTGCTGGGAGGAAGGCTTGCCCAGCCCCACACTAGCCCGGGCGAACACAACTCGCCAGCAGAGATGTCCCAGGGCAGGGGCTGGGACGGGCACCCGGGGTGCGGGAAGGCTCAGCCCCTCC